AAGCTTTAGATTAGATGGAACTTGAAGTGTCTCACGCGAGATCTCGATCGATGGTAAATTCTTTGTTATTTTTGGTACGATGAGACAATGTACGCTAAAGCGAAAATTCGATTGACACGATTGCAAAACAATATCGCATACTTGATGTATTTGATTCGTGAGTTCATTTATACCCGTAATGATTTCCGAAGATTGATTTCGTCTAACTCCGATCTTATTACACGCTGAGCTAGTGACAAGATGCGCTTCACTTCCGCTGTCCAAAAGTATACGACATGGTACATTCGAACCGTTAGGCAGTATCGCGTAAACTCTCGCTGTTGCTATAATCACGTGACGTTTCGCTAGCGCATTCGCCGACAAATGTATTGCTACCTGATCGTTACTTTCATTGTTGGCATTGGACATCGATGGGATCTCAACACTCTTCTTGGTAGGCTTCTCTTTCATGTCCAATGGCAGGTGACATAGAGTGTTGTGTCTACCCGAGCATTCACGGCAAGATCCCATTTTACATGACTTGACGTAATGGTCATTACGTAAACAATTTAGGCAAAGTTTAAGGCGGCGAACTTCCTTGATACGTTCGTCGACTGGCATTGCGATGAATTTCTTACAATGGTATAAGAAATGTTCCCCCTTGCACAGAAAACACTTGTTGGTATTTGTCAGCATCGTAAGCGACGCTGCCTTGTGGTCTCGAACTGGCTTCTGGTTTCGCTGCCTAGAGCCAGACTTGTGGTCCTCATCTTTCGATTGCGCAGCGTCTCTATGGCTTTCTCTCGCTTCAAGACGTTCCAATGTTTGACATCGTTTCTGCAAGAAATTGATTAAATTTTCTAATACTAGGGCATTAGTGTTACCTTCCTGCTCCCAGGCACGTAGGGATACGGCATCTAATTTAGTTTCCATCATATGTACAATAAGTTCGTCCCACGAGTCAGTCGGTAACTCCATTGCCTTTAGAACTCGTAAATGTTTCATCGTGTAATCGATCAACTCTCGTATGGCAGTTGCTGATTCCCTTTTAACGATTGGCATTCTAAAAAGACATTCGATATGCTTCTTCTTTATTGCACGTGGATCGTCGTATCGTTTCTGTAGTAGTTCCCACGCTATAGTGTAGTTGTCCGCGGTTAACTCTATAGAATCGATCACCCTTGCTGCATCACCTATTAGCGATGTAGCAAGATATTGGAATTTTTGCACTGGTAATATATCTCTCTTGTCGTTAATGAGCGAACGAAATGTATCCGCAAATCGCTTCCATTCTTCGGGACGCCCGTCAAACGTAGGTAGTTGTACGGGTGGCAGCTTGACTCCCGAAGTTCGATTCGCGACGCCATCTGTGCCTGCGATCCGCGACAGCAGCTCGGTCTGTTGCTCTATCGCTCTAGCTATGGCATCATTATTATCGGTCGATGGAGATAACGTGCTTGACTGTCGGCTAACATGCTGAATTAACTCCGACTGTTGCTGCAGCACACGTGCGATCGTTTCGCTGTTCATCGATGAAGCCTCATCTTGTAGTGTTGGCAAATCTCGCATTATCTTGCTTAACAATACCTTTACTTCAACATGTCGATCTTCGAAGTACGCTTCTTCCGATGAGTCCGCGACAGTGACCTCTCCTCCCGTCATCTCAACGATCTCATCTTGTATCCTATCGAAATTGACTCGTATTCGCTCTAGACTAGCGACATATTCTTCGATTAGTTCCTTGCTCACTTCGCCTGACGTTCGGAGCTGCTCGATTTTCGCGATCAATCTTGTCAGTTTCGCCTTAGTTGCCCCGCGGCGTCTTCGAAGCGTGCCGATATTTTCCGCCTTGTCGGCCTCCATTTTGTGGACTGTATTTTCACGTTACGTTTATTCACTTCGATGTGTTGTAATAGCTCTCGAGATCCGGCTCGAAGGACCAATGTTAGGCTTGATTTAGAATCACGTTAG